CGATATGTCACATGATGACACCATGACGATGAGAGTCTGACACCCATGCATTATCTAGTTACACTCACAATTGCTTTATGTTTACCATGCTATACATGTATCAGCAAAATGTAGGATTGACTTATTCTGCTAAACATGGAGAGAAGTCCCTGCAAAGTTATATTATGGAATGTTCCAGAGATTTAATATGGCATGCAAATATGCTTTTTAGATTACATCATTTAGGAAATTAAAACAATAAGTCTACATATCTAAGTGTGGGATACAGTTATATTGCATGTTGTCCTGACTAATGCAGAGCACTTTCAGAACAGGATCCCAGTAACAAGTAGTACCAATGACAATAATATACAGTACTATATCAGGCATAAGATGGCTGGTTTGGCAGCTAAACGTAATTGGCAATCTGAAAGAGAGATCAGTGGAAGAAGGACCTGAATCTAAACTAAGTTCAGAGTATTCCAACTTCTGGAGGAGGTATGATGAACTGAAGATGACTCTGAAAGGGGAGTCGACCATGTAGTAAAGACCAAGGAATTGAAGAGTAGACCCAAGAGGATGGCAGATTGCTCTCAGTGACTGGACCAGGGCTCTCCAACCTTAGGAACTCTAAGCCTGGAGGACTTCAACTTCCAGAATTCCCCAGCCAGCTGGCTGGGGAATTCTGGGAGTTGAAGTCCTCCAGGCTTAAATCTGTCAAGGTTGGAGACCCCTGCTCTGAACAGCTACCCTTCATGAGGAGACAGCAGGACAGTGATTTTCTATGGGTTCAAGCACCATAAGATGACAAGATTACTCATCTTGTCTGCAACTGTTACAATTTTTAATAGACTTTTACATATATACATAAGCATATATATAAGAACTAGCTCGACACCCATGCTTCTCTATGAAACTATGATTGGGCTTAGTTTTTGGGGAGGAAAATAAGGGGGGGGGAAATCTGCCTCTGCCTACCAGTATCCATCAGTATTCATCTGGCTAGCGTCCTGTCAGTGTGTGAGAGAGTTGAGGGCTGTTTGGAAACTGAAACAGTATTTGCTGTGTGAGCAAGAAGACAGCAAGGAGCCTGGGCGTGGCTTAGCTCAACTGTTCTGTACTAAAGCTGCTTGGTGCTGTGAAACTAAAACTGAAACTTGAAACTGCTCTCCTCTGCTTGTGTTTTGCATTTGGAACAGATTTTTTTTCAGGTGGGGAGGGGGAGTAGAACTCCTTAGCATCAGAGTGTGTGTTAATAACAATATACAAAATACTAATGCTGTGATGGTTATTTCAAAAAATCCTTTCTTAGTGAGCACTTAGAAGCTAAGAGGAACATATGTGCCAAATTTCAATTTTGTAGGCATTACGGTTCTGGAGATTTTGTGATGATGCGTGAGTGGTATTCCGCATTTATACAGTATATATAGAATAAGAATATGCATACACATAAAGATATACGTACAGGAAACATGAGAGAGATGCCAGGAATCCTACCCCACTAATACATTTTGCCCAGGAGCTAAACTACAAAACCTTACTTAATCAGTGTGGTGAAAGGAAAATGCCAGCTTCCTTGGGAGTAAGCTTTCTATGAATGAGCCTGAACAACTGGAAGGCTGGGAGAAAAGAGCTTTTGAAGATGCAGGAAAAGAAAAGAGAAGAGAAATAGGAAGCTTAAGCTGATTACAGAGAGAAAGTAAAAGGCAACAAGAAACTGCTGCTGGACTTCAAACCCAACCCTTCAAGAAATCTGGCTTTGAAAGAGCTCACTTCCATGGCAGAGGTATGAGGAACACCAAGTAGGAAGCAAAGGAACCAGTTACTTTAAAAAATTCCCTAAACCTTTTCACAGCTGATTTTCTCAGCTGAAACTGGCATTTCCAAGCTTCCTATTGTTGCTGTCACAATGACTTATCTCTTTAGTTGGACGTTATAGTTGAACATTACAGTTTGATTAATAGTGTAACAAACTGAAGCTTTCAAATGAGTCAATACTTGCTTTCAAACTCTGACCCTAATAGTTTTAAAGAGACAATTGTGGATAAATTAATGAGTTCTCATACTCCTTTGGTGTGTCCAGAGACTCCCAACAATTGTTCTGTGTTATAAAGGGGTCAATGAGTCCCACAGTCAGCACACCGGCAAAAGTCAATGGTAATATCTGGTTGTCCTTCAAAGCTGTGATAGTCTCTGGGAGCCTTGTACATATGAGCAGAAGTCCAGGACTTCCATGGACTTTGAAAAAAAAAAACAGTATAGAAAAAGTATTGATGCTTTTTAACTTTCATGTTGCAGAAAATTCTTGAGAACACATGGATGGGCCACAGAACAAACAAACGTATCATTGAACAAATTGACTCAGGATTCTCACACAAATGAACAGGCACAAATGACCTTACTTTGGACACATCCTGGGAAGACCTAACTCTCTCACTTTAGTGCTAGGAAAGGTGCAAGGGAAGAGAAAAGAGAATGATCATCAGCAAGATAGATAGATACAGTTACAGGCATCCAGGTAGAAACCATGAGACCGTGAATTCTATCTCAGGCACAAAGCCCGCTGAGAGACCTTGGACCCCAGTCTCTTCTTAGCCCTAGGAAGGAGGTAATGGCAAACAAACAAAAAATCCTTGCGAAAAAAAACCTGCAGAAAATATATATCATAGTACTGATTGTGGATTTTTCCCTAGGGCCAACATACCCACACTTGCCGTTATTAAGAAGGTGAAAATATATGATAAATTTTGTACCATCAGGTATTTGCTTTTTCTTTTATTGGTTGCTTAAAAGTAGTTATTTTTAAATAAAATATGCACTTCTGTTAATACGTGTCAGAATGTGCTTTTATGTGGTCATGTGATGGTCTATGGTCTATGTGATGCCAAGATATAACAAATGTTGTATGATGGTAGATCTAATTAGGTAAAAATCACGAGGATAAAAGAAAACACTGGGGAGAGTACATGGACTTAGAAATATACATTTTAGAGTTGGTTATGGAATTTTAATTTAAAAAGTATTTATTTGGCAGAACAATAAGTACATAGTAACTTCTGTAATCTGGATACTATAAATACTAGGTCGCTTTGTGAAGATCAGAATCAAGTCCACACAACTGAACTTATTTAACCTCACAGTATTCAGGTGTTCTTACTTGAGAACTCTTACAGTGAATGCTTTCCAGGAATGCCTCAATCTCCATTGATTCCTTATTAGAGGAAGATCTCCTTTGGACACTCATACAAATGCCTACAACAGAGAAGCCTTTGTACCATGATGACTACACATTTACTCTGTTTGAGCCAAGAGCTTGCAATATCATGGCACTTTTGTCAAGTAGAAGCATCATCGTTTTCCTCCTGCAAACTTACTTGAGTAGAGGAGTTTATAGAGGGGCCAAAAAGTCAAGATCATAGCTACCACCATATAGTTGAAGCTCTGCCATTTTGCTACAAAACAAGGACAGTACTGCCCAGAAAGTAATGGCAGACTGAAGATAGAGCACACATACACACACACACACAGAGAGAGAGAGACAGAGAGTACAGATTTGGGATCCTTGTTTATGGCCAACATGATTTCATTTGCTTTTATTGGTTGCTGGCTGTCTTCTGAATGCAATTCAAATTGTTGGTTGCATCTTGCTGGACCAGGTTATTTATGACACTACTTTCTCCTGAAATCATCAGCCTATCCAATCAGATCGGATAACATGACCTCCCTTTAGGTCATGTCTCTTCAAAAATACCATCTGACTTACAGGTACAGGTAGTCCTTGACTTATGACCACATCGAGCCCAAAATTTCTGTTGCTCAGTGAGACATTTGTTAAGTGAATTTTGCCCTGTTTTATGACCTTCCTTGCTTCCGTTGTTAAGTGAATCACTGCAGTTGATAAGTTAGTCACCTGGTTGTTAAGTGAATCTGCTTTCCCTGTTGATTTTGCTTGTCAGAAGGTCTCAAAAGGGGATCACATGATCTTGGGACACAGCAAGGTCGTAAGTATGAACCAATTACCAAGCCTCTGAATTTTCGTTGAATGATTATGGGGATGCTGCAAAGGTCGTAACTGTGAAAAACGGTCATAATCATGTCACTTTTTTCAGTGCCATTGTAACTTTGAATGGTCACTAAACGAACTGTTGTAAATCAAAGATTACCTGTATTTTCAATCCCACTGTATAGAAATTCTGTCTACCCTTTCTTGGGTTTCAGGAAAGCATTTGAGACTTGGCTTTTCTAGTATCTAGCCCTGAAAGGAGGAATATTATGAACACTGGCCATACATTTTGGATATTTTTAATGCTTTTTTTTTTCAAAAGGGTTATTTTAATGACTTTTTAAAATGTTATTCCTTCAGAGATTTGGGGACGGACAGCATACAAATAAAGAAATCCACCACTAACTGAACCCAATTTTCATTGCGTTACTCAAGTCTGTTAGTTACACAACAGGCTAAGCTAAAATGCCATTGGTCGGTTTTTAGGTCTCGGTTGTGTGAACTTGCAGCCTCGTTATTGCACAAACCCATTTCATATCAGAGAGAGAGAGAGATTAACGAGCCAAGCATCTGCTTAAACGGAGCCCACAAAAGCACGTGCCAGAATACCTGCCGTGCCATTCCCCGGTTAATTACTGAGTAGTTCGTAGAGCCTGGCCTCAAACCCTCCCTGCGAGGGCATGCCTGGCTTCATTCGTGATGTATTACGGCACCGGCTGGATGACATTCAACGCTATAAACGTCCGTAATGTGGAAATGGCCTCCCTGCGGTCCCTTGCGGGTTTCCATAACAGCTCGAGATAACAAAAGGGAGGGAAAGGATCAGTCAGAGGCGGGGCCTTCCCCGCAGGGTTAACCTTCACCTCCCCGCAGCGCGGCCGCTCTCTTCCCCTCCCTGCCTTCTGGTTTGCTTCCCTTTCATTGGCTGCCTGGAGTCTTAAGGGCAAGAAAGCTCTCTAATTAGGACCCGGGCGGACACGGATCCCGTTTCCTGGGTAAGCAGATGGGGGGGGGGGGGAGGCGGGAGAAAGAAGGCAAAGTCCAAGCGACGACGGGCGCCGCCAGCCTCGCCGCCTTAAACCGAGCTGAGTTGGTTTCGCTTCGCAGGCTTTTTCTTCTCGGCCAGAGCCCGGAGTTTTGCACTCGAGGCAGGTGGAGGACACCGAGGAAGAGGAGGAGGAGGAAGAAGCGGGGGAGACAACCCTGGGGAGAGGCGGAAGGAGCGCGCCCTATTGCCTGAAAAGTTGCTCGCCAGGCGAAGGAAAGTTGGCCGGGGAATTCCTGACGGTGGGGGGAAAAGTAGGAGCACCAACCGCAGGTAAGTGATCTCGGGTTGCTTTTCAGCGAAGGACGAAGGTGGTTCTTTGAGTGGACCAGAGGTCTCCAACCTTGGCAACTTTAAGACTTGTGGACTTCAACTCCCAGAATTCTCCAGCCAGCACAGCTGGCTGGAGAATTCTGGGAGTTGAAGTCCACAAGTCTTAAAGTTGCCAAGGTTGGAGATCTCTGGAGTGGACAACCCATCACACCCCAGATTTGAGGGTCCCGGTGCTGTTGCCTTGCAGCAAGAGGAGAGGAAATAAAATCACATTTCCCCTTGCAGCCATCCCAACCCCACACATACCTCATTGCTGCAGGAAGAGGGTATAATTAGTTGCCTTCAAATCAGCGCGAACGTTGTTGACTTGGCGGAATCTGAATCGCTCCAATCACTCCAATACCCCTGTGGGTACGGAAGAAAAGCAAAGAGGGTGAGACAATCCTTTCCCAAAAAATAAAATAAAATAAAAATCTGCCAGTAGTTCTTAAGGTCTATTATCTCTTACTTGAATTTTGTGGTTGCAATCCCCGATGAGGATAAAACGGCATTTTCATGTAGGTACAATAACCTGTTAAAAACGGAAGCTCCTCTTTAGGGAACTGGGCACAGGATTGATTACAAACAGCCTTAGTCCACTGGAAATCTTTCATAGATTAAAATAGGGATAGTACATTGCATTAAGGACCTTTCTGACTTGAGTTGAGAGGGTGTTTGTTTTAGATGTTTGAGGGTGTTCGTTGTAAATAAATACTGAAATTGGAGTCAGTTAATGATAATTTGGATGAGAGCAAAATGTTTCTTAATGATGCATCCTCTGAATAAATAAACATGTAAAAAAAATACTTCTTTTTCATGTTCCACTACATTTCTTCTACGAATCTGCAAAACGGTGCACACACATTCTAACTGGGCTGTATTTGTTTCATCACCTGAACAATTAGGAACCTGCTTCTACTTTCATGAGCGAGATGAGTGGTGTCTAAATTTGATAAATAAAATAAATCTTGTCATATGTAATTCTGTATAGAGAGCATCTTTACAATTAGAGGCTGGTTAATTGGTAACTTCAAATTATTACTGCTCTAAACATTACCTAGGTCATTAATTATGTGAAACATATGTTATCAGATTTGGACTGCAAAATCCAGACAATTGCTAGACAATTGCAACAATTAGAATTTTCTATATCTGTTTGCTGGTGTGCGGAATTTCCTGAATTTTTGCAGCCCATAATTGGTACCCCTAATATATTTGATTTCTCATGTGAATATTTGTGCTTTGTGAAATTTGCCTACAGTAAGAACATTTAAAAGAGTGCTGGTGAAAGTCTTTTATGTTCTAGAGACTGCGTTTTCTCTTTCACACCCTCACGATTCAAATACTTTATAGCAGGGGTCCTCAAACTTGGCAACTTTAAGACTGGTGGACTTCAACTCCTAGAATTCCTCAGCCAGCATAGGAGTTGGGAGTTTAAGTCCACAAGTCTTAAAGTTGCCAAGTTTGCGGACCTCTACTTTATAGCAAAGAAGGAACAATATTGACATGTTATGCTTTTGTATGGCTACGAGGTCTGGCAAGATCTGTGGTATCAGTGCTAAGCAAGGATAATGAACAGCACAATTATGGCCATGAATATTATGCCCTGTCTTACAGGCCGATTGTGTTGAAGTACACATAATAATATACTTTCAGTCAGAACAGAGCTGGAAGGGACCATGGAGGTCTTCTAGTCCAATCCCCCGCTCAAACAAGGGGCCCTATCCAGTCTCTTCTTAAAAACCTCCAGTGATGAAACACCCATAACTTCTGAAGGCAAACTGGTTAATTCTCCTCCCTGTTAGGAAGTTTCTCTTTAATGGTAGCTTCTCTCCTTGATTAGTTTCCATCCATTGTTTCTTGTCCTGCCTTCTGATGCTTTGGAAAATAAGTTGACCCCTCTTCTCTTTGTGACAGCCTCTCAAACACTGGAATACGGCTATCATGTCCCCCTTAGCCCTTTTCTCTAGACTAGCCAAATCCAAATCCTGAAACTGTTCTTCATATGTTTTAATCTCCAGGCCTTTAATCATCTTAGTTGCCCTTCTTTGCACTTTTTCCCATCTTTTTTGTAATGTAACCAAAATTAGATGCAGTATTCCAGGTTTGGACTTACTAAGGATTTATAAAGCAGTACTAATACTTCACATGATTTTGATTCTATGCCTCTGTTTATACAATCAAGGATTGTATTCATTTGTTGGTTCATATTTAAGTGATAATCTGCTGGCTCATATTTAAGTGATAATCCCCTAGGGCTCCAAGGTCCCTTTCACAATTACGTTTTTGAGTCAGGTTTTGCCCGATCTGTACTTATACCTTTGGTTTTTCCTGCCAAAGTGTAAAACCTTGCTTTTTTCCACATATTTAATTTTATTGGATAGGGCACATTGTTCAAGTCTGTCAGTATCTTTTTGGATCCTGAGCTTGTCTTCTGGGATGTTGGCTATTCCTACTAGCTTAGTGTCATCTGCAAATTTGATGAGTTCTCCTTCTATTTCCCCATCAAAGTCATTTATGAAGATATTGAAGAGTACTGGGCCTAAGATAGAACCTTATGGTACTCCACTGCTTACTTTTCTCCATGTAGATGTATTACTGTTAAGAACGATTCGCTGAGTATGGTTTGTCAGCCAGTTTGCAAATCCATCTGGTGGTGATGCTGTCTATCCCACATTTTTCTAGCTTACCAAGAAGGTTGTGGTCTACTTTGTCAAATGCCTTGCTGAAGTCTATGTATACTATGTCCACAACATTTCACTGGGCTACTAATTGAATTACTTTGTCAAAGAATGAAATAAGATTGGTTTGGCATGATCTGTTTTTAATAAATCCCTGCTGGCTTTTAGTTATAACTTTATTTATTTCTAGAGGTTCAAAGATCTGGGTTTTTTAATTATTATCTTTTCCAGTATCTTCCCAGTATTGATGTTAGGCTGATTGCTTTGTAGTTTCCTGGATCTGTCCCCACTCCACCCTTTTTTTTTTTTTTTTGAAGATGGGAATCAGTCCCATCTTCATGGTAATTCCCTGGTGTTCCAGGATTTGTGAAAGATACCTTATCTCTTGGATGTGCTTGCCTTCTTCTATAGGGAGGTCTTAAAAAGAGAAAGAAGAGAGCCTTAGCTCTTGTTTTCTGAATCTGTTCTCCAGATCAGCTTTTAACAGTACTATGTATTCAAACACTGCAGTTAATTAGTAGCAGACATACACTGCTTCACCATTGGTTGTTCACTGAATTAGAATTCAAAGATAATAATTCCCAGCCTTCATCTTGTTACATACTTCAGATACAGAATTACAAGTCTACCTGCTTCTGCAGCTTGCTTGCTTGCTTGCTTGTTTGTTTGTTTATTTAGCTGTTTATCTCACCCTGGGGTTACTCTGGGCAGTTTACAACAGTAAAAATGTAAAATTAAAAAATGTAAACATAATGAATAAAACAATGAAACAATAAACACTGAAAATTCAGTAATATGAAAAGATGTCCAGGGAGGGAACAGGATGTGTGGTGGGAGATTATGTCTTGTTAATCAAGGAATAATTTTAAAAACTGATATTCCATTTTTTATAACCGTGAGCTCTCAAAAGACATAATCTTGCCTTCTTTTTGTTAGCAGTGGAATTGGTGGTGGGGAAACAAATCCACTTGAAATGGAAAGGAATCAAAAGCCTTTTATCAGCAGGACTTACATCTTCTCTTTCATCAAAGTAATTTCATCTGATCTATTGCCTAAATAAGTATCCCCCCCCCTCCCAAAATGTTAGAATGTGATCAGAGGTTATTCTCACGAAACAGCTGTGAGTGTAGAAAGATCCCTGAAGGTATAATTATTTTCATAGTTGCAACTTCATAATCTCATGGAAATGCAGATTCCCTCTCCTCCCCTATCTCATGGCTCCAGTTTCATTCCTAGGTAGCAGATGAGCTGCCAGATGTTGTTTGTTATGTAAAAAATTTCAACAGTCCTTGTTTGATGTAGATTCCTGTTTCCTTCTACTACTACATCACTCTGCTTTTATTTTTAATTGCAGACATCATTGTTTCTGATTTATACAAATATGTTCCATGTGCCTTGGGAAAAGTTCGTTCCTCTTTGAAGAGGTACAGTTTGGCATGAGATAAGGCTTTCTCAATACCACACCTAGGCTAATTGCAGCTGTAACTGTGTGGATCTTTTTGAAATGATGCATGAGATATGGGTAAATACAACACTGCTGGTCCTAAGTCAGATACAGTTTATGGTGGATATTAACTTTGCTATCCACATTATCAAGCCAGAAGCTTAATCTTAGGTTCATGGTCCTACGTGAATAAAGGTGAAAGCAGATGTTTCACCTCTAAAGTACCCTTTTTTTCATTCAAATGTTTATGTTGCAAGTGACAATGGGCATAGCATACAGCCTCCAGTGCATGTAGTTACAAATAGTTTCTACAGTTCACCTTTTCTTGTTTCCTATGACCCAGCAAATAACTCTTATATGGCTCTGCAGTGATCCATAATGAATAAAGGCAAGGACAATCCATTCTAATAGTATCTCTACTAATACAGCATTTTACTGAGCCATCCATGGTTACACAAATGAGGACAGCCGTTATATGGCTTCAGTAATAGCCAGAGATGCAGGAAAATGCTACAGACATTCCTGCTTTGCCATGTTTCAGTCTGAGGTCTCTTCCACCCATGGGTTAGTATCAGTCTAAGCTGATTGGAGCTGCTTCTTGCACCCTTACTACAGGGTTCTACAGGGCTGTAACATCTAACACTGTGCACTTCTGGAACTATGGTATAGACAGATTCTCTAGTGGCAGATATGGTTGCCTCATTCTCCCCCCCAGATTTCCAATCTCATGTCCGGAGTCAAGCCATTATGGAGAGCTTTTGTCTCTACCCCTAGATAACAATCTTCTTTTTCTTTGACTGCTAAAGAAAACAGATGAGGAAATGAGAAGAGGTCCC